CAATATGGGGTCACCGTAATCGGTTCAAAGAAAAAAATAAAACATACGCACATGTAAATTATATTTGATTGTATATTTTAAATGCATTATTATTAGCATCCATCCACCTACCTTTCAAATTAAACAACATAGTGACATTAGCTGGTGGAGGAACGTCTCCCAATTCACCAAAATGTACCGGTGTACGCGTAAATTTCGTGGCATTGGTTTTGGCAGGTGGGTGCCAGCCATCTATGAAATAGAAATATACGTTACATTTACGGTGAGATTCTAAATCAAAGTTCCACAATGGTCGCGCTGTGTAACATATGACTCAAAGCGACGTATTTAGATTTTCTTTGAATAGATTGTGTATTGCTATGAAGCTTATATGTGAAAAAAATAAGGTCTCGGAAAAAAAGTTTTTGAAAATAAATGTGATAATAGTTTTCGCGGATTACAGAAAACAAGTAAAAAACGATCCGTTCAATTAGAAAATAGAGAATTATTGAAACTCGTGAAATAATAAAAACAAAAGGTCGGAAACTACGGGAAGAGTACGGACTGTCCACAGATCTACCTGCATTTGTCGAAATGTATTGACCAAATGAAGTCGCTAGGTCACGGAGATTCTGATGAAATACAGAATTAATCATTCTCGCGTTAGAGAATGTATGTTTTATCGTAAATGAACATGACTTATGACACCGCGAACCTGTCCTAATTCTGTACAATTACGTACGTGAGTTGCTACGTATTGGAGCGAAGGAGTTTTAATAGCTGACACTTTCAAATTAAACAGTGAATAGGTTATGTTTTATTTGTTCATAAACACGTATATTAACTCTGCAATCACGTTGTATCTCAAAAGCTTAATTCGTCCCCCACACATACACAACGACTCTATGCAGCTTAAAATAAAAAAAAGGGGCTTCACTTTCCGAAAAAAAACACAATACACCAATGACCAAAATCAACCTTCATTTTGTAGAAGGAAGTCGACAATTCTGAAAACATTTAGTAACATTTCCCCCGTACATGAGTTAGGAAAACACATCAGTGAGCTGTGACAATGTGCCTTTTGCAAGACACAAACTCACCTGTGTACTCCAATGATCGCCGCGGGTAGAATATTTCCGGGTTTCCAACTATTAGTTTGTAATCCCCAATTCTACAAAAACAAAATGAATAATGCTTGATTGTACAAAATGTAAATTTCAAAATAAAATTCCATAACATTTCTCTATAATCTGTATGACAAAAGTTCGGTTAAAATACACAGGTTGTCTGAGACTCATACAAATGAGTCAGAATGGTAGGTAAATCCATCAGTGTTCAAATTAACGTTGTGTTCACAGGCAAAATTTGAATTTCTTGCAGTATTTAAACCCGCGCTTCAAGTAATTGGTCTGCTTACTAGATATCATCCCCTTGATAGACCTTCTGGTCTGCATACTAGATAGCATCCTCCGGATAGAACTCCTTGTCCATATACCAGATAGCATCCCCTGGAGAGACCTCCTGGTCTGTATACCAGATAGCATCCCCTGGATAGAACTCCCACCCCTGTGTACATACCTTATAGCAGCTCCTGGTCCAGGCATCACGTCGTCAATGTTGTAAACCATTTCTTTTCTTGGCGACGATTTTCCCTTTGACAGGGTGTCCCAAACATCAAGTCCATCTAAATCATCCTCTTTGATAAAATAAGGTACGATGATATCTTGAAGTACGCCAAACAGAACAAATCGATAGGGCGAACTTGAACATAACTTTGAGACAAACATCAAGATCTCATTAAGGAACAAATCACCACAAGACTTGTTTCCTGCCCAAATAGTGTTTCATTCTCTCTGCCACCAAGTCTCTTGTTTCTTGTAATCGTGATATTTGAGTGCGATGGCGGAAGAAAATGAAACATCATTTGAGAAGAAATACAAGTCTCGTGGCATTCTCACTCTTAAAGAGACTACGGCGGCCATTTGCATTCAAGGTATATTAGCTTGATATTAATGTCAATGCATTCTTACCGGGTGTTCCACCTGCTAGCTTCAAAAAGGTTGTGTGAAAGTCAGTGATGTGGATGAGTCTGAAAACATTTTTATATTTTAAAAATCATTATTATTATATCTTTCAACTTATACAGTTTCAAATGTTTATGCACATCTTCTAGAACGAAAAGTGTCAAATATCTTGAAGAACAGAACATTGTCATACTACACTAGGTTTACGCACTCATTACTGACTGTCCCAATGTTCTTTAATAAGGAACTTGACCCTGAAACAAATCCAGGAACTCTCGTTCCGCCTTCAAATAGGGTACCTCCTCCGCCTCTGAAGGGCCAGTTACTCGCTGCTAGATACGGAAAACCACCGTTCTGAAACAAAGCATAAATATACGATTCTAAATGCTAAAGTTATCTTCATTGTTCTATCTCCCATTGTAGCATCTTTTCCATGCGTTTTAGGTTTAGGGTCTAGTTCCTTGGAACTATGAAGGGTTTTAATTCCCTGTGACTATGAATGAATTGTTAAATAGGTGTTTTGCATACCCGAAGATCGCCGAAGGAAATGATTATTTCCGAGCTTAACCGATTCTTAAATGTTGTTATGCTTCAGGAATGTGTCGATAAAGTTGTCAAAACAATCACAAAAAACAAATTATGAATGCTTTATAACCATGCATAAGACACACTTCGAAACAATGTGGGCTTACTGAGGGCAAATACATCATTGGTCATACCATGGACGTATATCATATGCATCATGATTTGTGACATCTTGAATTTTCAAGCACTCGACTATCACCTTGAAGTATTTTATTAAAACCATGTGTATGTGACAATGCTCTCACAGTTTAGAATCATCTATCAACAGCCAATCAGACTGCTTCTTTCATCAATGAGCTTGGCCAAGCTATCAAAATCCTCGGGCGGAGTTTCATCACAAGACGTTCCACGTTGCTATACCGCGCAGCACTGTACCATGTATTTCCATGGGCTCTGTGCCAGCTGTTTTGGAACGCCGGTCGAAGAGCTGGGGAAAATGGCTAAATTCGAGAAATAATCCTGAACAACAAAATTTATATATGTTGCACATGCAGGAGTGATCTTGTTACAATACGTGGCAGGTTTCCCATCAAAATTAAAGCAGATATTGCCACAACAAAACACTGGCACAGATTGAAATCTCTACCAGAAAATCACATCCTTCAAGATGCATTAAAAGAATCAGAAAAAAATAACACAAACTGGATTGAATATGTAAAAAATATTCTTGATGAATGTGAACTTGGAAATTATGACGAAACCTACAATGGTAAAAATAGAAAACAACCCACAAAGGAATTACAATCACAGCTGACAGATACATTATATAAACAGACATGGAAAAATCAAATTAGAAATACCAAAGGCACAACTGGACAAGGTAACAAATTAAGAACATATAGTATTTAAAAAAAAATATTGAAATGGAAAATTACTTAAAAATAATTATTAATTTTACTCAAAGGCAATGTCTGTATAAATTTCGTTTGAGCGATCACAATTTAGGAATTGAATTAGGCAGAAGAACAACCCCAAAAACACAACTGGAGAAGAGAATATGTACAAGGTGTAATGACAATGAGATAGATGATGAAAAACACCTTATTTTGAAATGCATACACTTCAATAAAGAGAGAGAGTTATTATTCCGAGAGTGCAATGAAGACATTAAAAATACAAATAATAACACACATCTTCTCTAAAATCAACAGTGAAAATAACAGTATACCTCTATCAATTTTTTTCAAAAAGCACAATATTTAAGCCAAAATAATTAATCACTTCACCCATGGGAGGGGGCTGGTAAGACTAAATTACTAGTACTTTATTTAGATCAGTTTAGTTTAGCATTGTATTGTATTGTATTGTATTGTATTTAGAATTGTTCTAGTCTTATTTACCATACTGAACCCGCTGATGGTTCGGTAGTGTAATAAAGTTATTATTATTGTTCATGGGAGTCCCAACAACCATCACAAAGTACCGTTTCCTGAGAGTTTTTGGCCTTTGTTTTCACCGTGATGGTCCAGGCGGTGAAAATGCCCGGATGTCGTTGAGCACAGTGGAAGCTGTGTTGGCTTTGATGTCTAGGCAATACAGTGACGATATCGAGACATCGTGCAACTCATATATATTCAGACCAAAGCTATTCAAGCTACTTAGTTCTGAGTCTGATTTGTTCGTTGTTAGTCGCACTGGAAGTGGTAAATCATTATGTTATTATGCTTTACCGGCCTTGCGACCATCGGTCGTGGTAACAGTATTGTCACCACTGTTGAGTATTATGGAGGAGCAGGTGTAATACCACGGAGTTCATGATGTCACTGCAATATATATAGACAGATATGAAGCCAAAGATGAAGACATCAGAAATGCAAAGCTCCAAACTAACTATTGGTTGGTTAACTTTCTATCGCGAAACTACTGACATTCACGGTTATGAATGGAGTTACCGCACATGGTTGGGCGGGGTTGTGGAGGAAGAATTGTCCGAACTGATCAACACCGTGTAGGCGGACGATGGATTTGAGATAACGAAGAGCATCACCCGAATAGTAAACATCATCTTTACTATGAATTACTTACGTCACTGAAGAAAACAAACAACGTGTCTTCCCACATTTCTTTCTCTTTTAGTTTGCGTGTCAAGTTCCCAACTATATCGTCCATGGCAGATACCATTGCTGGGGAAGAAAGGAAAACAGAAAATATAGTGGGTTGTAACACTGTGGTGGTGTATAGAAGAGCTATCAAACCAGATACATCAGATATGAACTTTATGTATCGAATAACGCTCCCACGTCATGCATGTGTTTACGGTTGTCGTTAATGATTATTAAGTTAATGATTGGTTGCCAACATATTCCGCAAAGAAATGTCAGGTATTTATTGGTCAAAATAAATTCGACAGACGAATATATGCCATTTTTGGCAAAAACACAATTTTTCGAGCTAAAAGGCGCCCTCCGCTTTGATCTTTTTGACTGCGGAGCACTCACACCAAAAATCTAGGTGAGTAACCCCTCTCCCCCGGAACAAGTGAATGTCTGGGAAGTCACTGTTTCATTTTACCTGACAATCCTCTTCTGTCTGGGTTTTCGATGTGGGCATACATGTCCAGGTACTTTTGTGGCGCCTGCAGATTTATAATTTATGAATTATGGTTGGATCGGCGGTACGAGGAAAGGGCGAAATGTGGGTAAGAGTGACGAGCACAGGGAAAGGAGAATGTAAAAATGGAACGAAGCACTGGGGGAATG